CCCCTCGCCGGATTTTCGCCCCCTCCCTCCTCCTCTTTGGTTTTTCGGCCATTTCTTGCTCCCCCGACCTCCAAATCAAAAACCGCGACCTCCCCCACGCTCCTGGCGTCGAGGAGCACATTCCCCAGCGGTTTGGGTGAGTTTGGCCGAGGTTGGGTCGCCGGCGGTGAGTTCTCCGGCGAGCCTCCGGTGAGTTTTCCGGCGACTTTGAGGGCTTCTTGCTATTTTCTTCACCTTTCTCCGGGTATCTTCTTGCGTCTCCAGGTGTGTTCATCCTTCCTTGTCTCGTATTTATGGAGAATCGATACCTAGAGTAGGTGAAGAACTTGGATTGTGCTTGCATGTGGGATTAATTCCGGGTTTGTGGTGATTTTGGATGTGGTTGGTTGCTTGGTGATTATGTGGATTGGCTTTGTTGATTATTTCCCGGGGGCCTAGTCCACTGCCCGAATCGCTTGATTTGAGGGCCCCCGGTGCATTTGACTGTGTCTTTTTTGTGGGATGGGGTTGTTTGCTTTTCTCCGGGAGTCTAGTCCACTGTCCATATCTTCCGATATGAGGGCTCCCGGTGTGATCTTGACTAACATTGACCCCGTTTGTCATGTTCCATTTTGTCCGTTCTTGTGCTCTGCAGGATCATGGAACACTACCTAGAGCAGTTGAGCATCACCCAGCGCCATGCACTGCGGACTATCCGCACCCGCACCATTCCCAAGCACCTGCACCTCGATTTTGCGGTGTTCGATGGCCTTCACGCCAGGCCGCAGATGGAGGCCGCTGTGCGGGCGTATGGTTGGCGGCGCCTGCTCTGTCTTGCTGAGTCCACTTATCAAGAGCTCGTCTGGGAGTTCTATGCCTCCTTCCGCCACAACCAGAGGGGGAATGCCGACCACAGTAACGCCGTTCAATTCACACTTGGCGGGGTCGAGCACTCCATCAGCTACTGGGAGTTCGCCAATGCACTCCAGGTGAATTCCCCCCACGCCAGCGACGGGGTCCTGCGCTTGGACCTCACCGATCCCACCGATTTTCCTTGCCAGGCATACTTCCGGCGGATCTGTCATCCCGACTACGTGGATGTGGAGTACATGGCGCATCCAGACGCGAGGCGCTCTCCTCCGGCCTGAGTGGCGCATCCCCAGCAAGGGCTCGGCCAACCGGGTCACCCTCCGGACCCTCTGGTTCATGGAGGCGATGGGTCGCTCTGAGGACACCATCCAGTTGGGCTCGGTGGTCGCCCGGACGTTCGCGAAAGCTGCTGCCAGCCAAAGTCGCGCCCTTGTCTGTGGCCCAGTCATCACGGCCCTCGCCCGCTACTACGGGGTCGACATCACTGGGATGACCCTGGTCCACGGCCCCACTCCACTCAGCGAGGCCACCCTCCGTGCTCAGCACCTGGTGGCCCGCCAGGGGCGTGTTCGCTGGATTGCGGGGTTTCCCCAGCCACCTGAACCCGCCGCGGGCGACCAGCCAGAGTCCAGCGCTGCTGGATCCCGCCGGGTTCCTCGCCGCGCTACTCCTCATGCTCAGGCTCCCACGAGCCCCGCTGTTGCCCCCAGGTCTCCTCCACCCGTGGTGGTGCCCATCTCCGATCAGTTGGCGGCTATCGCTCAGCAGAACGAGCGCATCCTGGCCGGCCAGGAACTCATTCACACGCGCCTGGATCGCGAGCGGGACCGCGGCCGTCGTCTGATGTCCGGCCAGCACTACATCATGTCCTATCTGGGCATGGACCCGGGCGCAGTTCACTATCCTTTCGTTCAGTCCCCGGGGTATGAGGACCAGTACCCACCACCTGCCGGCGATGGTGGCGATGACTTCTAGTGGCGAGAGCACCTGGTTCTGCACTGATTCCATTTCCAGACTGAGACTCCATGTTTTTGTTGTTTCTTTTGGATTTGTTTTCTTTTATTTTGGATTGTCGACTCGGAACTTCGGTTCTATCACCCAGTGTATCTCTTGTGTGACTTTAGCTTTGTGCCTCGGACTGGGTCCCCTTCCAGTCCTCTGCTATTGTCTGATCTGCCTCTCGATCTCCGTTCCTGATTTCACGGTAACATCGTTCCCCTTCCCTCTGCTCCATTGAGGACATTGTCGCATTTAAGTGTGGGGGGGGGGGGTTCTTTGTATTATTTGGAACGGGTGTATGGGTGCTTGGAGCCTAGTCCACTGTCCGAATCTTGAGATTTGAGGGCTCCAAGCACCGCTGTTTGCTTGATATTTGACCATATTGGCATTGTGGATGTGATTAGAGAATTGAATGGCTTTTGACTCGATGCATGACAACTTGAGTGTGACTAAGATAGCCTATTACGATGACTGAGATGCGTAGTAGAGTTGTGTAGGGGTTCAGTTTTCGACTGTTTGCTTACCAACTGCGACTTGTATTTGATCACCTGCTTTTGACAGTCATTTATGCATCTAGTTCAGGGAATCAGAATGTGAGATAGAGCATATAGGTAGCCATGTGAGATTTGAGCCTGCTCGTTTCTTTCTTGTGCGATAGATCCCTCTTCCATGAAATGTAGCATTCACGTTGTCACTAGCTAAGATGATGGAGGCATAGGATTAGCCCACGACCAAACTGGCTGTCCTGATTTGTCATATCCCCTAGTCAGCCCCTTTGAGCCGTGTGTTATCCTTTCTTTCGGTTTGAAATGAAAAATCACCCTTTGCATCTTTTAGAAGGTTCCACAGAGTGGTTTTTGCATGCTGTCTGCTGTTCTGCTAAATGTAATGTGAGGGTTGGAGGTAGTGCTTAAAAGTTGGGCGTGTGTTTGAAAAATGTGCAGAGGTGGTGGTTCTCTTAAGGAATGAATAAAGAAGAAAATAGAGAAAAACAAAGAAAAAAAAATGAAAGCAAAAGAGAGCCACCACCAAAGTTCTGAATAGTGCCCATTAAGTAGTGTTTCCTAGCAGTCTGGCTTGGGAATGCTAACATTCTTATAACCTCCTTCGCTCCTGTGCCCTGAAGAGTTTGATTGATGCAGAATAGCAGAACGAAAGTTACTGGTTTGCTTGATTGTGGTTTTGTTGGGTTTGGAATTGTGGAACCTTGTGCTATAACTGCCACCACCTAAAAGGCCTTTTCCCCATGTCCAAGACCCTAGCCAGTCATTTGAACCTGTGTCTAAGACCTCCGGATTAGTTAGTGGTGACACCCCCTTATGTGAACTCTAGCATTTAGAGGCTGCATTCATGGTGAAGAGACGTTAGGAATTGAGAGAAGAAGCATGCGCATTTTTCGCATCATATTGTCCTGACCCCACTGGTCGAGAGTGAGCGATTCAGTTTCTCATTTTCTCTATACTCTTTACCCCGGTGAGGACCTAGATTGCTCGGTCTTAATTCTGATATCTTGAGCTTTGTGCATGAAGTGACTGTTTTGAACAAGTGATTGAGTCAAGTCTATGTTGGTTGGTGAACATGAAAGAACTCTTCCTTTGCTCAACTTTATTGCATTCGAATGTCATCTGTGGAGGTTGTCTATGTTGTCGTTCGAGTTGCCATGTGTTGATGATCGAAAGCCAGTATGATCCACGTGTTTAATGCCGATATGATTTGCCCTTAAGCTTGCTTGATTGAAATGTCTCAAGCTTACCTGGTGTCTGACTTGGTTTGCTTAGGGACAAGCAAACGGTTAAGTGTGGGGGAGTTTGATAACGATATAATTACATGATTTTATACCCCTATTTCTTATCCATTTGCGGAGCATGGTTGTGTGTTTTGGCCTATTTTACGCCGGGTTGTGCTACTTTGTCCTATTTCAGGTCCCAGGCGTCAAAGGGAAGGCCAAGCACGAGTTTCGGATCGTTTGGAAGGCGTTTGGACAAGCCAGGGCCAAAACACGGGCAGGAGGCCTCAGAACACGGCCGTGTTCCTGCCCGTGCTTTTATGGCCGAGACTTTGCAAGTGTGGCTTGAACCACCTAAAAAACACGGGCAGGCCTGAGGAAAACACGGCCGTGTTTTAGCCTGAACACGACCGTGTTTTCAAGCTGCCCGTGGCCGTGCTTTTAAGGCTGAGGCAAAACACGGGCGGGCTGAGGCAAAGCACGGCCGTGCCCTCGACCGTGCTTTGGCCAATGATGCCCTTTTAGGCAGATTTTCAGCCAAAGAGAAGGGGATTCGAGTTTTAGAGAGACAGAGCGATTCCTAGAGAGAGAAAGCGACGAACAAGAGCCTCCAAGTGCCTTAGATCGATCTTCAACACCATTGGAGCTTGGTTTGAGCTTGGAGAAGTGCCGATTCAACGTCCAGGAGCAGAGATCCATCTTCACAGTATGATTTCCGCATCTGATTCTGCTTTTGCTTCTCTCTCCATGGAGTAGTTCTCCCATTCATCTGGGTATGGGAAACCCTAGTTCTGTATGAACCCAAGTACTGTTTCTATGAATTGATTATATTCGATTGAGGTTTGAATGATTGAATGACTTGAATCCTGATCAAATTCCTGTTGTTTCTGCTTTAGCCTAGAATGAGAATATCTGACTAGGTTGATAGAGCATCCTTGATTGAAGGTAGGGAGTTGGTGACTTTAGTCGAGGAACCAACTCACTATTCTGTACCGGTTTTACTCCGGTAGTGGAGGTTTTGTTCTTAGGGCCTCAATCTGTTTACTCCGGTGTAGGTTAGTCTCCAGCTAGAGACTCAGATTGAGAGGGTCTGGAGACCTTTAGTCGAGACTTCAGACTGTTTAAGAACCTTCCGCAGTATAACTATCATAGAAATTGAACTTGGTAATTACAATCCGGCTTAACTGCAGACTAGGGGGAACCATATCCGGGTGACCTCTCTTAACCTGAAAACAACCGTTTGAGTTACTTTGCTTGCTTGTCAGTTTAGAACTTCACTAAAGTTGCCTCGCTAGATAATACGAATTCACTGAGTAGTCATCACATCTAGGACCCGGGTTGACATTAAAACCCAGACCCGCTATACTACGCTTTAGGAAGTGGTTACACTTGGCCATTTTCTAGGGTGACAGTAACAGCGAGTCAGGTATCCTATCCTATCTGAGATGGCCAAGGATATCTTTGCTATTCCTATGTCTACAGTGCCTTCAGAATCTGCATTTAGCACTGGTGGAAGAATTCTAGATGACTTTAGAAGTTCATTACATCCTAAGATTGTTGAAGCACTAATCTGTAGTGAGGATTGGCTTAGATCAAGTTCCCTTCTGCCGTTGGATGATGACAATGATGGTGATTATGAGGATGAAGAAGCATTTGTTAATGGTAATGCTTATTATTTTAGTTTTTCATTGCTTGATTTTTCAACTGTTCATTGTGAATTATAAATGTTGGGTTTGCTAACTATTTATTTGTATTTTGTCTTTGCTTAGTTTACAATGTCGTTATGGAGGAGCAGGTGGGTGAGAGAGGAAGAGTTCAAGATTCTACTGTTAACAAAGATATTAGAGGAAGTGATGATATTTCCTCAACATTAAAGGGTGGGACTAGGACATACGAAGGACAAGGAGATGGTGGCATTTGAAGTTGCACTTTGTAGTTTATAGGAGTTATTAGTTATTAAATTTTGGACTTTGTTTATTGTTATATCATGGATTTTAGAACATGTTATGTTGCCTTGTAGTGGTTGTTTGATGACTTGTAGACGGTATGGTGTGTTTAACTCTTTTTTTTCCTCTAGTTATTGATTCGATTTTGAGCTAAAATGAATTATTTATTTTTAACTTAACAGTCAACACGATTTTTACGGACCAGACCGCACAGGCGTGGTCTGGACCAGACCGTATAGTACGTGGTCTGGACCAGACCGTATAGTACGTGGTCTGGTCTATGGTCTGTGTTCTAACGCCTTGGTCTGGACCGTAGACCGCATATATGGTCTGGTCTGGACCAGACCACACCGTTTCCCAGCCCTAGTCGTCGCCAACCACTATGCTCTCCCGAACCTAATTAGTCAAATCCTTCCAATTCATAGGATTTTAATATGTAAACAAGTAAGTGGGCTAATCTACATCCTCCGCCAACGAAACCCTCCAAAGCTGGCGGAAGTTCGACTGCGCCTCTTCTTGCCGGAGAAGATGACTGGAAAAGGTCCCGCTAGCTAGTACTCCAAACAAAGGAGCCTAATCTTCATTCTGGGAAGCCTTCCGTCATCAGATTTCGACTCTCCAACCCCAAATCCACAACAGAACCAAACCCTAACAAGGATCATTATGGGATCCGCACCTTCTTCGACGTGTGGAAGAGCTCCAAGGGGGAGAAGTTCGACGACAAGCTCATCAAGTCCAGGGCTATGCAGCAGCAGGGGAACCACAGTCATGGTGACCGACCTCAACACTAGCAACACCACCGATTTCGTCCTCAGCAGCAGAGCTTTCATGGCCATGGCCAGCGAAGGCAAAGCCTCAGACGTCCTCAAGCTCGGGATCGCCGACGTCGAATACAAAAGGTATGTAGTCAAACTACCATATTATAATATGAAAAGCCGACTATGAAAAGCCGACTACCAAATTAGGGCACATATTTGGCCAGTCAGTGGCGATGGGTTCCCTTTGTTTCTTTTCGTTATCGATTGGGTTTAATCGTTCGTCTTCTGGGCTTTGTTCCTCCCTTTCGGTTATCCTTTTTTTTTAGCTGTTCGGCCGATGACAAGCCCAACCGAGGGATAGGAATTGGCAGTCCATCGTCAGACGTCCAAGGGTTTTCCGGCGAATTGATTTCTCCGGCAAGTCCTGTAGTTACGTCTCCTCCGTGTGAAAGTAAAAATGTAATTATTGCCCTTCCATGTCCGTTTTGGACCGGAGCGTAACGGACGTAGGCATGGTTAAGGCACTCATTATTTGGTGCATATGAGTCCTTAATTACTCTAATTACTATGAGCAATTCAAGAAAAAGTCCATATTTAATAAGTTCCTTAATGCAATTATTTTGGTTTGCGTTTATGTTTTAATAGTAAATGTCATATTTAATGTGATTATTATTTTTGTTCTAACATATATTTTTGTTCTAAGTGGGCGGAAGCTTAGCAAGCTAACGGTAGCTCTTAACCACCATTGAACGGCCTGGATTTGGCTGAAAACGGCACTATTGCCTGACACCTCCCGCGGATGGGAGAGTAAGACTCGTTTAATTCTTTTGATTAACATAAGCAACCCTCCTCTGGAATAAGACCATGGCCGGTATCAGTCTACGGTGTGGTACCACAAACGGCGAACTCACCGGAAAACCTCCACCGTCGGAGAGTATTGGCAATTAATTGCCGGAACAGTTACAAACCGTTGGCGAGTAATTACGAATTTTCGTACCCAAATTTATTTTGCATTAAATTTTTTTCTATATGTGTAGGTAACGATTAATTGGCATATTTATTGTTTAGTCCCATTTTTATTGCCAAGAATTCATGTCATTAATGGTATTAATCACATGTTCCACGATTTCAAACGATGAAGTCTTCCTTAGTGCACCAACTATGGTTTCTTATTTCTTTAGAAATAGTCAAATAGGGCTATCACCTGGTTCATGAATCAACTTTGGGCTCAAATCGAAAATGGATAGTAGAGAAAGCATTGAACATTTATTCTTCAGATGCCCCCTAGCCACCAGATTGTGGACCTTAGTTGGATTGAGCAACTTTATTGAGATCGCCCGACTGTTAACTTTAGTCTATGGTGGCGACAACGTCATGGTCTCTGAGACCTCCTCATTCCACATTCTCCAATGCGTCTGCTTAATTTGGAGAATCTGGAAGTCTAGAAATAAAGTGATTTTTGAATTCTACCAACCTCATGTCCGTTCCCTAGCCAGACATTTCTACAACCAGGTCCTTGATATCTCAAACACTCTCCTCCCTCCCCAACCCCTCAACTCTCCTCCCAAACCATCCAACCTCCACATGGGTCTCTGCGCCAGACGATTACTTGAAGATCAATTTCGACGCTGCTATTTGTGCCACCGGGTGTTCATCTGGGCTTGCTGTCCTTGGGTCAGACGGACTTGTGGCGTTGGCGTTTGGGTTACAGCGTCAAGGAATAGTCAACCCTTCCCTGGTAGAGCTCCTAGCCATTAGATACGCTATTTCCATCATCACCTGAAGATTTTTTACTCACGTGATATTCGAAGGTGATTCCGAAGTGGTCGTCAAGCAGATCCGGCAAGGCTTCATAGAAAACTCGATTGGTGGTCTGGTGCTACGAGAGTGTCGTCAGGTCATTAGCTCTTTGTCCATGTGCATAGAGTTTAGGGCGGTACCTAGAACTGCCAACAGTCCTGCCCATAGAGTGGCGCGTAAAGCACTGCTTTTGTCTCGTCTAGAGCTAGAATCTTTTGATTTTTTGGGGTGGCTTCATTAGATTATATTGTAAGGGGTCCTGGGTAGATTTGTATGAATAACTCTTGTCCTATATTGATATCACTCAGGGAAAAAAAATTCATAATTAAGATCAATTTAATTACAAAAAAAAAACCAACGGTTTTGATTCGTTGAAGTACATCTAGTATGTAAGAATGCATGTGTATAAATAGGCCAGACATGTGCTAGCATTTGTCATATAACTTTTTTACTTTAGTTTAATTTCAAATGTTTAATGATTGTGTCGTGTGTAGTACGTGAATGCAAGTTTACCTTGTCTGAAACCAAGATCATATTCCCTAGTGTCTCTGAGTACCACTTACACAAGTGGTGAAGGACGAGTTGTGTGTGGTTTAAAATGAGATTGGGAAGGTTGAGGTGTCTCCAAGGTTGAAGTTCCCATCGGATTTACAACACAAAAGGAAAAGCTCCCTATAGAGTTCTATTGACTCGAAATCATGCTACTATACATGTATAGACCGTCGTGAGTGGGAGAATCCACTTATTGTGTTCGATATGCACGCGAGTCCTCCAGCCTACGAATTGAATATGTCACGTTATGTAACCAATGACATTGGATGACAAAGCTTGATACAAGCAACATATGAACTGCTTGATTGATATGTGATTTATTCCTACCTTGTGACATTTACCAGATCAGATAGAAAACCATGACCCTGCGATTTTCCCCTTTGAGGAAGTCAAACAGCCCATCAATTGATGATCAATCGTGAGAGGTTAGGCCCAGTCTCATCCAACTCAAAATCATATTTTGAAGCACACACCATGAGGGGATTTTAATTTCGACTAAGTACACAATCGATGGGCAATAGAAAGCAATGAAATCAAACAATAGAAGAAGAAGGACAACAACAACAAAACTAAGGAACTAAATGCTCATGGGGATAGATTTCTAAGAAACATTAGTCAAAACGAGATCCCCCATACAACCTGTAAATTGGCAGCCACAATAGGGAATTGGCGGTTAGGCCATCGATTTTGGCGCCAATTCATCCTCAGAGTTCGGCTTCGCTCTAAAACTGGTGGGTCGCTCTGTCGGCAGAGTAACAACCCTCTAATGACTCCTATCATGGGCTACCTAACTTGTACTCCTAGGGGTCTATTAATAGGCCTCAACATCAATTCCTTTGGGAGGAAAAATCGGCATTGACGCATATTTTGAGTTCCTTCGGGCTTCCATTCTGATCATCACATCTGAAATATTTCTTGAGAATCTTGGGTTCGATCTAAACAGTCTCCAAAACGAGGGCAAGGTGTCGTTTGTGGTTTTGGTCGACAGTTTCCAGCGTCATTTTATGGTATTGAAAACACATGAAATACCACTAAAAATGCATAAAAATAGCAAAAACAATCTTATAACTACTAAAACAGACGTTGTGATTATTAAGAGAATCTAAACAAATACTATATAGAGGTTCTCCTTCAGAACCACTTTAATCACAATTTTCCAGCCTCCTGCGCAGAAAGCGGAGGGGCCTTTTGGTCCAGTTTTGTTTTTAATGCACATGGACCATTTAAAGCATGTTTATTATTAATGGATGGGCTTTATTAAGTTTTGACGGGCATAATTGATGATTTGCTTCTAATAAGATTCATAATTAGATGAGGTATGAAACGAAATAATAGTTAATGAGTTCTCTTTTGATTATTAAGTAACAAGCTTATATTTTATTGAATTCATTCATTTGTTAGAAGTATAGTCCATAAAATATGGTACATGGTACGTACGTATAAAATTTGTACAAATATTTGACTTCATTCTATACTAATGGCATGTTTAATAGTACGTCAATAGTTAAAAAAATATAATTACTTTTTTTTAAAAAATAAATTAATATATCTTTTATAGTTAAGTTAACAATTAAATTCATTAAATATAGATATACATGTTTAGTACGGGAGCCATCAAATGAAAGAGAAAAAATGAAACGGCTTCAAAATAATACGGTTTATTAATACCAAAGTTTTAAGATAATAAAATACACACGGCCATTTATAAGTATATTAAACGGAGTATTTACTAACTATGGTTAGAAGTTGACAATATGACTAATAATTATTTAGGTTGGTTGTGATGTTTTTCGGGAACGAAAACAGTACGGATGCCAAACCCATACTATATTTGTTTAGATACTCATACCCTATAAAGTCTTTTCCAAGAATATTAAAACCCCTATAAAATTCACCCCAAACCCTACCATAATCAATGTATTTATATGTGTTTGATAAAATTACCTATAAGTGGATAGTTACCATTCCTAGACATCATGCTATTTTCAAT